TCTCTGTAGCCTCACACAGTAACTACCTCTGAGCTTCTCTCCCAGCACACAGGCTAATTAACATGGTAGCTATAGCTGAGCTCCTATGAGCTCTTACCTTACATCATAGCAGTATCAGCTCTCAGCTCCGTCTGAGCTCTCCTCTCTCCTGCACACATAGGAGCTACATTCTCTGTGCCTACCACCTCTGCTTCTCTGAGCTCTCTCTCCTCTCTCTGGTCAGTAACCTGTATATTACTCCAGAGACAAAGAAGGCTAGCTGCCGACAGTGACATCAATCATTTGGGTTACAGAAGGGCATAGTGTACCGTGAGATCCCTGTGGCCTTGCAGCTGTGTATGGTATCTTGGCCTTGGGCACCCCGATTAGGCTCATGCTTAGAGCGGCCTTGGCCATTCTGGTGTATTGACAACAAGGCCTCTGTGCTCTCATTGGCTTTGACTATCCAGGAACCCTGATGTGGTTCCCACAATGCCTTGCCACAGAAGATTCAGGGTGTAAAAATCCCTAGATGACCCCAAAGGTACCCCAAGCTAGATTCCCACTCCATATTCTCATAGTTAACAATCCTCTCTCAGAAAACCCAGAGCATCCAGCGAGACAGAACCCCTTTCTGTAACACCTCCTGATCTAGAGTGCTGTGTCCTATTCTATGTATGTTTAGCACAATCTCATATTCCCTTTGCCCTCCAAACCCTGGGCCACCAGGAGATAGAGGACATCCCTTATTCAGCTAAATATGAAGAAATGTGAGACTAGCTTTTGCACACCAAAGCAACCTAACTCCTGAGGAGCATGTAGGATTCCCCTTTGAACCCATCCCCCTTTATTAACCAGCTTACCTGCTCTTTTCCCAGAGTTGGTTCAAGAACCAGCGTGTCAAAAGGAGGAAACAGCTGCTACAGTGTCAGCCTAGTGTGGCACTAGAAGCACAAAACCAAACCATTTCAGTGAAGGAGGAGGAGACTCCTTTATCTGTACCTTCTACAAACACTCATCCCCTGAGTCCCAGCATTGTGAATGCTTATGACCATGAACTCCCTAAGACTTCTAATATCGAGCAATCTGGAGGGACTGGTGCCTCTGTGTGGAATGTATCATGGGATTCTCAGCCTCATGACCTTCAACAGCTATGTCTGAGTGTCTCTGATCCTTCTTGGGCCTCCAATCCCTCTGACATAGATCAGTTTATACAACTACTAGTGGCCCGGTGCACAAAATTCATGCACAGGGCTGGGGGGAAGAGGAGAGGGAGGGGTGTCCCTCAGCCCGGCCTGCACCCTCTCCAGTCTGGAACTCCTCAGGGGATGTCCGACTGCTGGTTTACCCGATCCCTGTGGGATTGGGCCTAAACTGGCTATTGGCCATCCCTCTCGCAATCCGAGACCACTGGCTCCTAACTGCTCACCTGTCTGCCTGCTTGATCACTCCTAACCACTCTGCCTGCCAGCCTGCTCACCCCCAACTGCCACCCCCCCGCCAGCCTGCTTGCCCCCAACTGCCCCCCCGACTTGCCTGATCACCCCCAACTGCCGTCCCCTCCTGGCCTGATCGCCCCTAACCACCTCTGCTTTGGCCCCACCACCATGGCTTTGTCCGGAAGGTCTCCCAGTCTAATTAGCATATTATCCTTTTATTAGTATAGATATTCCCTACCTGGGGAGGATCACCCCAGCAGTCTAGATGAGTACCTCTTCCCCAAGTGCCCTAATTGAGGGGATATGGCTGGGATTGACCTTCAGTGTGCTGGATAATACCTGCACAGCTCTTGAAAAAGGTTTGTGATCCAAATCTTGTCAAACCCAGAGACATTTCCAAATACATTAATGGGTCAACTCCAGTCTAAACAAACCAGTTATTTATCTTTTTCTATAAGAAGAAATACCTCTACCTTTTTTTTAATCCTAACCTGAGGATATTTTTCCATTGTTTTTTAGAGAGACTGGAAGAGAGAGGGAAAGAAAGAAATATCGATGTGAAAGAAACACATTGATTGCTTGCCTCCTGCACCAGACCCAACCAGGGCCTGGCTGGGAGCAGCCTACAACCAAGGTACTTGCTCTTGTTTGGAATCCAAGCAGGGACCCTTTGGTCTGCAGGCTGACGCTCTATCCACTGAGCCAAACCAGCTAGAACTTGAATCTTTTAAAAATTATTCTCCATTGAGCATTATGTTAAGCAAAATAAGTCAGTCAGAGAAAGATAAGTATCACATGATCTCACTCCTATGTGGAATCCAATGAACAACATAAACTGATGAACAAAAATAGACCCAGAGGCAGAACCATGGAACAGACTGTCAAACCTCAGAGGGAAGGCAGGGGAGGAGGGAGAAGAGATCAACCAATTAACTCATACGCGTATATGCATAATGGACACAGACAATAGGGTGGTGAAGGCCTGGGCTTGGGGGTGGGGGCAGAGTGGGAGAGGTCAATGGGAAAAAGAGGGGACATATTTAATACTTTCAACAATAAAGTTTTTTTAAAATGATTCTCCTTTAATAAGGTGTGTGTATCCACGAGGTCAGGTCTTCTATTAAATTATAGTTTTCTTGATAATTGTTTTGCAGACATCTATAATAATAAAAGGGTAATATGCTAATTAGACCAGACTTATTCCGGACATCCTTCCTGGCAAAGCTGGGGAGGAGGGAAGGAGCCCAGGTCCCAGGTGCCTGCGGGCAGCCAGAGGAGTGAAGCAGCTTGGGCCCCAGGTGCCTGCCAGTGGCCGGAGGAGGGAAGCCCGGGTCCCGGGTGCCAGAGGGAAGCCAGTGCCGGCAGCCCGGGGAAGGAAGGCCTACTCTTGCATGAATTTTCGTGCATCAGGCCTGTAGTTGACTATAAAATCATAAATAAAAACAATGAATGATAAACAAATTCAGAATGTGTTTTGCTTGGGAAGGTGAGGTCATGGGAGGCAATGGGGGGACACCTATTTGTGGTATTTGAAAGGAGAAGATTGTGCCTAATCAGAACTCAGGAGTTTACAGGTAGTGAGGGGGAAATTTCATTCCAGTGTGAAATGAAACCCAGAAGAAAGGCCTGAACAGTGCCATTAGCAATGTGTTGCCACCTCAAGGCTTCTGGATGTTGGGTTGGAGGAGGGCTAAGGAAAGAAGCATTCCAGTTAAGAGGTTGGAGTTGAAGAAGACGCTGTGGCAATGGACATGGTGAGAGATCATGTGATTGATGCCCAAGGTAGTCCTTGTGAAGAAAGAGGCTATTTCCAGAAGACGTTCTTAAATCTGTCGTGGCTATTTTTATGAATCATCTCTTCTAAGTAATGTGTCTCCTAAGTGGTTCTCCAGACTTGCTAAGAGTCTGATTATCAGAGCCCCTAGAATAGTCATTCTGACATCTAGGCAGGAACTCAAAGAAGCTGAGAAAGGAGGGTGGACGCTATTACTGCAGAGAAACAATTCCAAAGAAAAAGGTAGATATGAGCCTGGCTGGTTTTCAGATATGAAACGAAGCAGTGGCTGCTATACACCTCCTATGGCTGCCTATTAAAATCGAGGTGTGGATTGCATTTTTTTCTGTGTCTGTTTCAGCACGTATGTCTGGCATGTATGAGGCAGGCATTTTGTCCCTTTAGTGCACATATTGAGAGGAACTGCACCTGAGAAGTTATAATCAGTTCCCTTCATGAGCACCAGGCCCTGATTTTGATGGTGAGGTGCTGGACTTCTGTCCCAGGCTTATTGCTGTAATTGTATTACATTTGGAAATTCCATAGAAAGTAATCAGTGTTTTGGGTTTGTGGGAAGTGTGAATGTCTCTGGGCCTGAGGGTGGAACAGTAGCTAGTCTCTTAGGATGATTTCTATGAACCACAAGTCATACCCGTGCCCTAGTGTAGTCTCCTCCACATGATTATGGCTGTCTCTCTGACTCACCTTTGAACACTAGGATGTGAAGGGAGTGGCACTGCATGACTTCTAGAGCGAGGTCCTATTACACCTTACACCTTCTGCTTGGGCCTTTTCACGGGATCACTATGGAAGCCATGAAGCCTGAGTGAGTTGATGAGTCTAAGACAGCTATGAAGGTTGTGTAAAGAGAAACAACCAGCCAGCCCCCAGCTCTTTCATCCAGCTCAAGTGAAGAGTCAGACACGAGGAAAGCACCCATCGGGAAACTCCACTTCCCACTACCATCTGATTAGAACCACAAAATACACTACCATATGAGTGCAGGACACCTGCAAAACTGGGAGACATAATCAAATTATTGTTTTAAAACAATATATTTTGGAGAGGTTTGTTGTTCTGCAACGATTCTGTGGGGCATCACAGCCAGAGTCAGGTCCCTGCATCCCGTGTATAAATTGTTCTTGTTTTAGCAATAATTTTATCCTCCCTGGTCTAAAATCATAACAGTTCATTACCAAACATGTCCCAGGTTTCTGCCCACAGAAATTGAAAAAAATCTTGCAATTGTTTGAGTAATAGGAAAAAGAGATTCTTTGAGGTAAATCTTGGTTTTCCAACTATTTCTTGGATGAAAACTTTTTAAGTGCTGGCCTTGTCATTTTCTTTATTTTTCCCAGTGCATCTCACACAAAGCCAGGCACAGTGACAATATATATATTAAACATCCTTGGAATAAAGGAAGATTTAAGAAATCTCACCTGATTGTCCTCCGAATACAAAGTTCCTTCCCCAACTACCAATTATAGCTTTGTGGCTTGAGACAGATACCTAATATCTTGGTTTAGCTGTCTGAAATTGGGGAAGGATTTTGCTTTAGAGTGTCTGACATATCGTAAGAACTACATAAGGATACTGTCACCAGTGTCTTCTCAGACATCTCATGACCCTGTCCCTCACTCCATGTGTCCGAGAAATATTTGTCCTCTTTGATTCCTTGACCTCCCACAGGACTCTCATGCCCCTTTTAGTGTTGAGCACTTAATCTTTTTTCTCTTTTTTTCCCTCAGAAGAAAGAAGCAAATCTTGTTAAGTTCTCAGGAGTTTTAATGACCAAGTGTGGGGGAAGGGTGAGAACCCATGTGTTAGCCAGCTCTGGGAACCACAGGGTCACTGAGGTGGAGGGATCTCCTTGACAACGGGGATTCTGGTCGCATCCTTCTCTACTGGACACTCACTGAACTCAGGGAGACATCTCTCCACACCTGGATCATCTTCACGCTCTCTGGCGGGAGTCGATGGGAAAACTTGTAACACTGACGGCCATTTATCTTTATCTGGAAGGGAAAATGTATCATAAATACAGTAGGCCACCAAACAGACTTACCGTCTTTCTTTCTACTTCTATCCTATAGACACACCATCCACCCAGAAACTCTCAGTCACATTTCAAAAGTCAGTAGACATGCTTCTTTTTATAACCTACATTTTGCGACTATTTCGGACAGTTGTTCATTCTATTTTCTGAGATTCTCTTATTCCTCCACTGAAGTGCTACCACTTCCTGTTGCATTGTCTATGTCTTCCAGGCCTTCTCTCTAGCTCAGAAGATTCTCATGGCCAGGAACTGTGTCTCATGAATCCTAAGTGTCTGTATCCTTTCTTTCTTTCTTTAAATCCTCACCTGAGGATATTTATTTCCATTGCTTTTTAGACAGAGTGGAAGGGGGAGGGAGAGAAAGTGAAACATCGATGTGAGAGAGACACATCAGGGCCAGGGATCGTACTTGCAACCCAGGTATGTACCCTTGACTGGAATTGAACCCAGGACCCTTTAGTCTGAGGGCTGACGCTCTATCCACTGAGCCAAACCTGCTAGGGCTTGAGTGTTCTTAAAGAGGTAGAATTGTACATATGATTTTAAATGAGGATAATTTAAATCAGCTTATAAGCACATGAAAAGATACCTGCTTCAATCATAATAAGATGTTAATTTTTTTGCTTCTCTATTTAGAAAGGTCAGAATTTTTAAATATACACTTTATTACCATGGCTATGGGAAAAAAGTCAACTTTTTAAGGTCTTAGTTTTTTATATTTAAATTGCACACACTTCTTCAACCAGCTATTTCATTTCTCTGAAATTATCCTCCCATATAAGCACTGGGAGGTTGATAATGACAAAAATGTTATATAGAATACAGCTTCATTCATGAGAGCAAAATATGGAAACCACCTAAATGTGCATGAGTAAGGGTCAAGTTAAATCATTCTGAGAATGCTTCTATTGGAATATTAGGTGAACATTAAATAATGTGGGGACATCTCAAGCAGAACTATTTCTCTAACATACATTTTTATTTTTTATTTTTTATTATATATTTGTTTAAATCTTCACCCAAGGATATTTTTCCATTAATTTTTAAGAGAGTGGAAGAGAGAGGGAAAGACAAAGAGAAATATCAATGTGAGAGAAACCCATCAATTGGTTGTCTCCTGCACATGCCCTGACCAGGGCCTGTCCGGGGAACAGCCTGCAACCTAGATATGTGCCCGTGACCGGAATAGAATCCAGGACCCTTCGGTCTGCAGGCCGATGCTCTATCCACTGAGCCAAACCAGCTAGGGCATCTAACATACATTTTTTTTTACAACAAATAAACTCTAGTCCTCAATGTGTGGTTACTAGAAATACTTATAACATCATTTATTTAAAAAGAAACAAAAGCAGATACAGATACATGATGATAGATGATAGATAGATGATAGATAGATGATAGATAGATGATAGATAGATAGATAGATGATAGACTTGTACAAGCATATAATATCTCTGTAAAGAGCACAAAAGAACTAGTAACTGTTGCTCTGGAGAGAGACTGGATTTAGGAATGTAGAAAACACTCCATTTAAACTAAATATAATTATTTATATGCATATTTTAACAATCTCCTACATGAAAACTGAAAGAATGACAGCACAGGTGGAAAACATGGCTGCAAGGGAAGATAGAGGAAATTCAGGCATGTGTGCTCATCTTGACCTGAGCACAGCAGTACCAGCAGAGGGTGCTCTGTGAAGAGAGGGGCAGGAGATGAACCACAAAGGACTCTGGGGGCCAGGCCAGGGAGAGCTGTGTCCCCCTCAGAGAGCCCTGAGAGCCCGTGTAGTGGATGCTCCTGGGTACACTCACCTGGTACTCATTTTGCAGCACTGAGATGCACAGCTCAAATGGTTGACGATCCACAAAAGGCATACTGTCGTATCTCTCCTCTGACTTCCAGTCCCCAAACTGACGGCTGTTCATCACCACACAGTTGCCAAAGTACACGCGGAAATAGAAGGCGATGTCTGAGTCCTCTTCAGTTCCCGTGTGGAAATCCACCTGCAGTTCTGGGCTCATGCTGAAGGCAAAGCACGCGGCATGTGGAGCAGGACCCTTCCTCATGGGGGCCCACATTCAACACACACACACACCCCCTCCCCAACTCCTCCAGGGGAGGGAAGGCCTTCCTGGGTGAGAATGCAGTACGTGTCCCTGTGGGGCTGCTTCAGCTCGTCCTGCCCAGGCTGGGAGATGCCTCATCTCTTAGCCCAGGACTCACACCGAGCAGCAGTCACTGGCCTGGGGCTACTTTTCATGTCCTGGAAATACTGTGTCCCTTGATAATAAACCTCAGCTCCAATGCTTGAGTGACCCCAGCCCCCAGACTTCAACACTTACCCACAGACATGCACCTGTAGGTTTAATCCTGGCACCGGATGGGTCTCCAGGAACTGCAACTGCATTGTGCTACCATTATGCTAATTACACATTTCAGTATCATTCTTGCATGAAGTGACCTCCAAAGCTACAATAACCTCACTGCCTGGCCTGTGTGGCTCAGCGGTTGAGCATCGACCTCGGAACCAGGAAGTCGCTGGTTGGATTCCCGGTCAGGGCATATGCCTGGGTTGAAGGCTGGATCCCCAGTAGGGGGCGTGCAGGAGGCAGCCGATCGATGATGCTCCTCTCTCATCGATGTTTCCATCTCTCTGTCCCTCTCCCTTCCTCTCTCTCTAAAAAATCAATAAAAGCATATTAAAAAAAAATAACCTCACTTCTTCATTGTCCCACCATAGGCTGTAGAGTACTCACACGAAAGACATGGCAGGTGTCCCTTTGATTGTCACTGAAGAACCAATGTTCAAGGATGAGATTTTTGTGTATGGGACCTGCCATGGGAGAAGAGAGCAGATGAGAGGGACAAAGCCAGGTGTGGTCTCCCCTCCTACAACACCTAGTGGCAAAGCAGGATAAATGTCAAAGGACAAACTCTGAGGGCCCCCTTCTTCCCCCCTCATCACAGTCAGGACCCCGTGTCCGTGAAGAAATGAGAGAATTGTCATTGAAAGCAAGCTTTCAAGAACCAGGCTTCCTGGATTCTAATTTTGCCTCTTACTAGCAGTGAGACCGTAGATCAATTATTTGAATTCTCCTTGCCTTTGTCTCCTCAGGAGAAGGAGCATTATCAGAAATTCCTACTTCAGAGAGAGCTCTCAGTAACAGATGAGCTAATAGATGTAAAACCTTTAACCTGGTCACTGGTATGTGTAGGGTCTAAACAGGGGTGACCTAGCCGAAGGGAAGGGCCCTTTCTGAAGTACCACCCTCTGAACATTCCTATCTGAAACTGTAAAGACAAGACAAAACTATAAAAATATATATATTCACTCCAATGAAAAACATTTGTTAAAAGAGAGGGCAATGATCATGGAAAAGGAGACGCCTGTGTGTGGGCTACATATGCATCAGAATTTTCAAGGACATGCATGTTCTTTCAGGAACATGCACAAGTCACTGAGGACACAGCCAGTACCTGCACACAGGGTGGCGGGCAGTAATTGATGAAAGTAATTAAAGAAAATCTACACATTGTTCATTGGTATCTACTGTAAGCTTTGTCTGGACTGAAGCTGATTTTGTCCCTTCCATCTTCAGGTGATCCATTCTCTGAAACCAATTCCCACAACCACCTTCCCCAGAGTCAGGATCTGCTCACCCTTTTTTGTTGTTGTTTTTAAGACAGAGGAAGGACTGACTTGGGGAGGAGACATGAGGCAGGAGCAGGGGTCACTGTGTGCTGACCTAGACGGGAGATCCAGTGCCCCACAGTCTGAGTTCACCTCCCCTCAGGCTTCTTGAGAAGAGGCTCTGAGGACTGACTCGTTCTGCTCTCATTAATGCTCAGGGAGGAGTCCTGGGAAACCCACTCTCCTCAAGACCTCCCGTTCTGCCCACCAGGATCCACCGTGATACTCATGGAAAGACATACAGTTACTTAAAAGTCACTACCATGTAGGGGAGAACACTCACATGCAGACACAGACATTCACAATTCAACACGCAGTCACAGGTTATCACACACAGAGAATCACACAGAGTCACACAGAGACATGAGATCACCATATCACATACCTGCCAACACTCCCAACTGCTCAACCTCTGCCCCAGCTGCACACACACACACACACACACACACACACACACACACACACAGTCATAAAGACAAATGTGCAATCTCACCCCTTGCACCACACACACAGTCCCTCATCCCAGTCAGCTGTCCACTTCCCACACAAAGTCACAGTGTCTCAATAGAGTTCACACTCAGTCAGACACCACCAAATGCTGGCATTGGATTACACTGGCCCAGGGTCAACACACAATTCCCCATAAGGATTCCATCATCATATGCCAAGGGTCTCTCTTCCACACATTCACAATTACCAAATACCCCAAATATTTTCATCTTAAACAATCTTGCCCTCTTTCCTCCTTCCTTTATGGGACCTGGGATCACTGACGTCTGCGCCATTTCAACTCACCTGTACCACTGCCATTGTTGCGTCTTCTGTTGGGCAGCTCTTCCTAATTGTGTCTAGTTGTGTGTGTGAGCTCTGCAAGTGGCAGATTATAAATGATTCCTAGAAGCTCCACCCTTTGGCTTCATTCCAGTTTCTAAGCCTCTTCTAGAAAGATTTCCAGCATGAGAAGCGGTGGAGCATCACAAATAGAATCAATCACTACATGCATCCGGACCTGTCCTTGAGCAGGATGTGTTTGTGATGCAGTAGAAATTTCAGTGAAGAAATTGTGGGTGAGGAAAGAGTAGCAGGAAAAATGCACAAATAAGGGTGAAGTAGTGAGTGTGTGAGTGGGTCTAAAGGCCAGCTTACATGCCTCTCACTAAGTATGTATACAATAGCGGGGAACCCACCCAAAAGATGCACATTCTTCTTACTTGAACAATGGCAAAGAATTGGTTTTCCTGAGGTAAGGACTGTCTTCCAGAGGTCTGGGGAGAGCATGGACATTGATCCTCAGCAGACTTGCAGATAGAGGTAGAGAATGTCTTTGTGTCACCTCCACTCCCCAGTAGGACCCTTGGCTCTGCCCATGCCAATAGTGCATTGTTCTCTCACACACCTGGAATCTAGCCTCACCTTTTCACATCTCCCTGGGCATCCATGTGAATCCAAATGAGTCCCTGATTCTCCTTTAGACTCAGAGAAAACTGAGGATACCTTAAATTCTACTCTGATTTCTGTGTTCTTTGGTTCTAGGCCTGTCTGAGAACAGGCACAAGAACAGGTGATGGGACTCCAGCCACATTTCATTCTTTACCTGGGTTGGAGGACTGAGGACCCTTTTCAAGTTCAAAGCCTGAAATAGGAATTTAAAGCAGGGACGTATTCAATGTAATCATCATTGACACAAAATCATGTTTTCATTACCTGCACACTCAACAGTTCATTCCATCCAGTGAGGCTTCTTTTTCTCCCTGTGGCTCTGAAGAGATAGAGAATAGAGGTCTTTCAGCCGCGTGGGACAGCAAATGGGGTCATTCCCAGCCACTCAAGGTCTCTGCATAGTAGCTGTCCCTGAGCATCCTCTGTAAGGTGTTTCCCAAAGTTGCTTGTGCCCCTGAAAATCCTCAAGAGGGTTGGTGTATATGTGATAACTATAAGGTATTTGCTTGTATGTGTTCTATTTGTGTATTTATTTAGATGGGGAATCAAGTTATGGAAGCAATATAAGGCTATAACCTGAGAAAGACACTGTAAAAAAGGCTGTTCTTCAGTCTTACTCTGCCAAATATGGCCTCATCTGGAATTTGTGGGAGTTTTGGAACTGAAAGAGAGAATTGCTCTAAGTAAATACAGGTTGCAAGTCATCATAAGGAAGTTTCAATTGATGGTCCTTTGTCATTGTTAAATCTGAGATTTGTCGGGGCTTTTCGGGGGTGCGATTTTGCAGTCTCCCATGAATAAATCATGACAGATAGGAGGGGTGGGGATTCTTCTTTCATCTTTTAGACACTATAGTCAAAGCTGGAACATGTTCACAGTTGAAATCACTTAAAGCTTTTCCCATAGCAAATTGAAACCTGACTAGAAAAGCCATAAAATTCTTTCTTTTGACCCCTCCCATTGTCACAGCAAAGCAAAGAACCATGGGTGTGGGGGTTCTTGTGGTCAGATTGACTAAGGAAATGAAACCAAATATAAGATACAAATACCTTTTGGAAAAACAGTTTTAGCCTTTAAGTTTCACCCCCATGGTCAACTTCCAACATACATCAATCAACATGGGACATTAAAATGAAAAATTATTTATAATAATAAAATTCAATAAGTTATAATTTAATCATGATAAACTTTTCAATAAATTATAGCTCATTCAATTAATAACACATTTAGGAGTCCTTTTAAAAAGTTAAAGTTTATAAAAGAATAAATAAAAAACAAATTAAATCGGAATGTTTTCCAGCATTAAGATTCCCAAGTGGTAAAATGAGTTTTGTTATTTTTTAAAGTAGGTTGTGAAATGTATGTAGAGTATAACATTTATAACACTTTATTGTGATTAAATAACCTTATTTTATTTTATTTTATTTGTAAATTTTGTTTTATTGCTTAAAATATTACAAAGAGTAGTACATATGTCTCCTTTTTTCCCCCCTTGACCTTCCCCTGGCCTCCCCTACCCCCCAGTGTCTTGTTTCCATTGGTTATGCTTATATGCATGCATACAAGTCCCTTGGTTGATCTCTTACCACCCCGCCACCCTCACCCCCCGCTCCTGCCCTCCCTGGCCTTCCTGCTGTAGTTTGACAGTCTGTCCGATGCTGCTCTGCCTCTGTATCTATTTTTGTTCATCAGTTTATAATGGTCTTTATTATCCATAAATAAGTGAGATCATGTGGTATTTTTCTTTCATTGACGGGCTTATTTCACTTAGCATAATGCTCTCCAGTTCCATCCATGCTGTTGCAAATGGTAAGAGTTCCTTCTTTTTTACAGCAGCATAGTATTCCATTGTGTAGATGTACCACAGTTTTCTAATCCATTCATCTGTTGATGGGCACTTAGGCTGTTTCCAAATCTTAGCTATGGTAAATTGTGCTATGAACATAGGGGTGCATATATCCTTTCTGATTGGTGTTTCTGGTTTCTTGGGATATATTCCTAGAAGTGGGATCACAGGGTCAAATGGGAGTTCCATTTTTAACTTTTTGAGGAAACTCCATACTGTCTTCCATAGTGGCTGCACCAGTCTGCATTCCCACCAGCAGTGCACGAGTGTTCCTTTTTCTCCGCATCCTCTTCAGCACTTGTCGTTTGTTGATTTGTTGATGATAGCCATTCTGACAGGTGTGAGATGGTATCTCATTGTTGTTTTGATTTGCATCTCTCGGATGATTTGTGACTTTGAGCATGTTTTCATATGTCTCTTGGCTTTCTGAATGTCCTCTTTTGAAAAGTGTCTATTTAGGTACTTTGCCCATTTTTTGATTGGATTGTTTATCTTCCTTTTGTTAAGTTGTACAAGTTCTCTATAAATGTTTGAGATTAAACCCTTATCGGTGATAACATTGGCAAATATATTCTCCCATGCAGTGGGTTTTCTTGTAGTTTTGTTGATGGTTTCTTTTGCTGTGCAGAAGCTTTTTATTTTGATGTAGTCCCATTTGTTCATTTTCTCTTTAGTTTCCAATGCCCTAGGAGCTGTATCGGTGAAGAAATTGTTTTGGCATATGTCTGAGATTTTGTTGCCTTTGGATTCCTCTAGTATTTTTATGGTTTCCCATCTTACATTAAGTCCTTTATCCATTTTGAGTTTATTTTTGTGTATGGTGTAAGTTGGTGGTCTAGTTTCATTTTCTTGCATGTATTTGACCAATTTTCCCAACACCATTTATTGAAGAGACTATCTTGACTCCATTGTATGTGCTTGCCTCCTTTGTCAAATATTAATTGAGCATATTGGTTCGGGCTGATTTCTTGGCTCTCTATTCTATTTCATTGATCTATATGTCTGTTCTTGTGCCAGTACCAGGCAGTTATGAGAACAGTGACTTTGTAATACAGCTTGATATCTGGTATTGAGATCCCACCTACTTTGTTCTTCTTTCTCAGGATCGCTGCAGCTATTTGGGGTCTTTTTTTATTCCAGATGAATTGTTGGAGAGTTCATTCTAGGTCTGTGAAATATGCCGTTGGTATTTTAATGGGGAGTGCATTGAATTTATAGATTGCTTTGGGTAGTATGGACATTTTAATGATGTTGATTCTACCAATCCATGAACATGGTATGTTCTTCCATCTGTTTATGTCTTCCTCTATCTCTTTTTTCAACATCCTGTAGTTTTCTGAGTAGAGGTCTTTTACCTCTTTAGTTAAGTTTATTCCTAGGTATCTTAATTTTTTTGGTGTGATGGTAAATGGGATTGCTTTTTTAGTCTCTCTTTCTGTAAGTTCACTATTGGTGTATAGAAATGCCATAGATTTCTTGGTGTTAATTTTATATCCTGCTACATTGCCGAGTTCATTTATTAAGTCTAATAGTTTTTTGATGGAGTCTTTAGGGTTTTTTATGAACAATATCATGTCATCTGCGAATATGGACAGTTTTACTTCTTCTTTTCCAATTTGGATGCCTTTTATTTCTTCTTCTTGTCTAATCGCAATGGCTAATACCTCCAGTACTATTGTTGCGGAGCGCGAGTGACAGAATGACCAGAACTCCAGACTGATTAAAATTTAGAGAGCCTTTATTGACTGGCCAGTGTCCGCTCCTCCACTCGGGAAGCCCAAGAGAGAAGCGGCCACGACCATCTGCAGAGTTCAATATTTAAAGGGGACAACTACATCCGTGTTCAGGTTCCCATAGCAAGCAAAACCAAGTTACAAAAGCTAATTGTGTAGTTTTAGCCAAGCTATTCATCATCCTCCTGTTATTCATTTCTGGGTAACTTAAAGGTAAGGACTATTCTTAATTTTGATCTGTTTGTTCTTTGTGGGCCATTGCTCAGGTGTGTCGACCTGTTTGTTCTTTGTGAGCTCTCAGGTGTGGGAGCTCAGTTCCTAGGAACTTTGCACAGGCTGTAAGCTGCTGAGGTGGCTAGGTAATTAAGCAGGCCTAAAAATTTTCCTACTCTGTAACATTCCCCACTGGTTTTACGGGAGAATCAAGTCATTGTTTCCTCTTATTCTTTGGTAGTGAGTTCTTAGGACCATTAATTTGACTGCTTGTATTCTGCGTTGAATATAATTCATTAAGCTGTTTAGTATGCATGGGCCAAAAGTTAGTGTTAGTAGTAGGAGTACTATTGGCCCAGCTAAGGCGGTTAGGAGAGTGGTGAGGTGAGCCAGGGGGACCAGGAGAAGAGGTTTTCATACCAGTTTCCTTCAGACTTTCTCCTTTCCTATCTTGTAGCCTCTTTCTTAGCTGACTGAGGCTCTCCCTGATAACTCCTGAGTGGTTAGTATAAAAACAACAGGTCTCCCCTAGGGCCATGCATAGTCCTTCCTGTTTTAGAAATAACTATTTTGTAATACTACCTCGGCTAAGGAACTGAGGGAA